ATGGTAATCCATTCCGTATAGACATGGCCACGGGTCAACCGGCTCGCCGACCCGGCACGGGCCCGGCCCGGTCAAACCCGTTGACCACGGGTCTGGGCCCGGCTCGGATTTTCAACCGGGCCGGTTCAGGGTCGTCTTTTTTTCGACACCGACCCGACAGGTCGGGACGGGTCCGGTTCGGCACGGGAAAAAATCAATTGTTTTTGAATTTTTCTATTTTTTTTCTTTTTATTTTAATTTTTCCGGGTTAGACCCGAGTCGGTCCCGGCCCGGCCCGCCGGGTCATGGGCCCAGCACGGGTTTAGGGCGTGCCGGTTCAGGGTCGACAAAACCCAACCCTTCGGCCCGCCGGGCCGGGTCGGGCCCTGAACCGGCCCACCATTTGGCCATGTCTGATTCCGTATGACAGAAAATGAGTTTAAACCTAATCACACTTCGCTAATTTTGTTCTACATTCATGAGCATGCATCTCATGTAGTATCAATTAACCTCATAATGAGGATCAATGCTCAACCATGTATCTTGTGGTTTAAATTTCCTGGGACTATTTGATTCTTGGTATCTGTTTGTCCTATTTTTGTTGCGATTTTCGTTGTCCTTTTGTCTTTCTTTTTCCCCATATTACGTCTTTTCGCTGGTTTTTAGTTCGTTTTGTAGTTTATTGCATGTTTTGCTCTATTTTGATTTCCTATGTGTTTTCCGTATATTTTTTCAGTTTTTCTTTGTTTTTGGTGTGTAGGTCGGAAGCCTCGGGAGGACCTGAAATATCAGGCGAAAATTAGTCGAGCAGGCGTAATTAAATAGAGGAGTTCGTTGGGAACACACAGGAAAAAGCGGAATCGAATTCCGAGTCGAAACGAACCCAAACAGACCCGAAATGCATGGACTGCCAGAGCCTTAGCGCCGCTAAGGTTAGCCAGGCTAGCGGCGCTATATTCCTTAGTGGCTTTAGACGCGAACAGTTAAGATGCCTTAGAACCGCCGCTATGGTCTGTTTTGTAACAGTCGCGATTTTTAGGGAATTTTGAAATGGGAAGGATATAGCTCGGGGCTAGGGCATTCTCAGATTGGGTTTTTCGTACTTTTCACTCCAGAACTCATTTTTCTCTTATCTTTCACTTGGATTTGATCTTTGGTAGTGAAAACTCCAAGATTAGGCTTTTGGATTAGGATTGCTCGTTGTTTTTCGACATTGGATTCGTATTTAATCGTAAGCTTTCATTTTCATTTTATCTATAATGATGATGGCTTTGATTGATGTGTATTTCGTTGTTGAATCTATGATGAGTAGCTAAATTCGTTAACTAGGGCTAGGGGATAATTGTTCCGGTTCAATTTCGGTTGTGTGTATGTTGATTGCTCAATCTATTCACGTTGTTTTGAACCTAGGGTTGGATGATTGATCACCATCTTAATCTATTTAATCGATTTTAGAAACAAAAGGGAAGGAATCGATCGATCCAGGCTTGTTTAGAATAGACTTGTTTGGAAACGTATTGTGTATGTACTAATTGATTCGATAATTGATCGTTTACGTTTATTCTCTTGTTACGTGAGTTATTGAGAATGAATCTCTGAATGAGTGAGTTTTTCGAGTTCTTTAGCCGAGTGATCGATTGTCGTTTAATGTATTGATAATCGGAAACGATTATCCCTGACACCCTAGTCCATTTTATCATTATTTGAATTGTGTTTTGGGGTGTGAAATTGAAATTGCTTGTTCGAGTATCATTAGTTGTTAATCGCGTAGTTGATAATCAAAACCAACCATTTGAATTAGAGTGTTCAAGATTATTTTCTTTTTCTGTGACTGAATATTCATACGATTTAATCCGGCTGACCTTCCTTGAGAAACGACCCGGTGTTCGAATCTTTCGATTCTACTCCGGTAAAAATTACTACAACAGTATCTCAGTGGTCTCTACTCTACACTCATTTCATTGAAACAAAGTCTCGTCTTACATTCAAATTGTAAATTTACTCAATCTCGTTGTGTGCATAAAAAAAAAAATAAAAAAATCACACACTCAATGAATGTAGAACATATGCACATCATTTATGACAGAAATTCTATGGTGCCCATATGGGCACCATAGAGTTTCTGTATTTTATGAAGCAAAAAGGACACCAGCTATGCTTATGCTAAAAAGACGGGCAAAAAAATATAATAAAGAAGTGCTGCTCGAGTTCTATCAGAAAATACTCATGTTTTAAACGAGGTATATTGTAAGTTTTTGCACTCTCTCTCATTATATATGAGCTGTTTTTATCAATCATTTCGTGCATTTTCTGGTTTGTACAACACATAGAGGTAATCCACCTATGAATGACAGGAAATGCAATACACAAGCCACAAGTAGTACAGTACATCAAGATCTATAAACAAGAAAACAGATTGATTATGGAGGAAAGGCATAGGAGAAAGTACTAATCAGGATATAACACAAAGATACAGAGTGAATCTGATTAATACATCAAATGATTTTATTATCCTGAATTTATTTAAATGTTACAAAAAAGCAAAAAATAAAAAGAAAAAGAAAAATGTGCAAAAAGAAGGAACAACTCTTACTAAGTGGCATTCTTCTTTTCGCCATTTCAACAAACAAACAAACAAAAAAAGACTTTCAACTGATATTAGGTCAAATGCAAGAAGCTACAATTCCTCCTTATGACTTGAAAGTTTGTAACAACTCGAAACCAAGAGGCACACCCACGGAGTTTAAACTCCTGCCAAATTCAACCCAAGCCAATGAGCCATGAATTTAAATTCATTCTATTTGATTCATCAAAATGCAATAAGGAACACTGAGAAAACTGACATGCTCATCATTCCTCAAAATATTGATTCATAAAGTCTTGCATTTCAAACTCCAAATCCTATCATCATTCACATAATATCATTTGTCCCTACACAGATATGCAATTTGTAATGTCAACCAAAACACAACCACTCCCATATTTTTCCTAACAAAATCTCATGCTCTCATTATAGCCCTATCAGGTTCAAATACTAGGGATTATAATGCACTAAAATTCTGATTATTAAATTCAAAATCTTCAACAGCTATTGGGGGTTTTAAATGTAGAAGGCTGTGGAAGTGACAACGGACCTCTCCTTGACTCATTATCATCCAAAAGCCTCTGAACCTTCTTCTTCGCACAATACTGCCGGTCGAAATGCTTCACCTACACGCAACAAAGTTGATTTAATCAACATCAATAATTATGATAATAAATAAATTGACCAAAAGTGTTAATTGTTTGATTGAAATTTNAAAAAAAAAAAAAAAAAAAAAAAAAAAAATTACCCAAGTAGGTCTGCACTGATTCACATACTGATCCCTAACTCTCTTGCACTCGACTGGGTAAAGAAGCCCTACAGATGCAATTTCCGTGGGTTTCTTGTTCGATTCTCTCTCTAGGCACGCGTAGAATGCGTCGCGCGCCTTTAAGGGATTCAAGATTCAGCTATATTAGCAATATTCGACTTAAATTCTCCAAAAACAAAATTGTAGTTCTTCATTATATGACATTCAAAACGGCAATAAGATTGGAATGAAGCGATTAGGGGTACCTTGTAGCAAGCGAGCCTTGCTTTCGAGAGAACATCTGCGTGAACTTTATCGCTGGCCTGTGACGAAAAAGCCTCCAAAGCCATCTGCCTCAGTTGTCGAGAATTTTTCTGGTGAATTTCCTTTCTTGATTGAGAAGACAGTGTGTTTAATTTTGATATATTTGAAATACTATTTTTTGGGCCTAATTTAAGGACCTTGAGGATAAAATTACAGGCCCAGGGTAATCAGCCTGATTACAAGTAAGGGTTAATGGAGAAGTGTAGTATGCCCGAGCATCCATTCACAATGTTTTTGGTTCATTCAAAACAATACTAGCGCATGGCCTAATATTAAAAATGATGTGAATGAATTATAATTTAATAAAATATTATTTTAAAAAATATCTAATGAGATAATAATAAAATTTTTATTAATACATTTATCTGTAATAATAGTTAGACAATATAAATTCGTGACTCTATAAACAATACCAACATATAATAGCTTGTAACTAAAAAATACAATATATATTTTTCTTAAAATTTTTAAAATTAAATTCATAATCTTACAAAAATATGTGACATACCATTACAAAAATTATTTGTCACATTAATGACACTCCTTCAAATTTTTTCATAAAAATGTCTACGTGATAATATAATTTTCATAAATCCCAAAAAAAAACAAAGTCATAATTACTATTCTACAAATAAAATAATATATGAATAATTAAAGTTAACATGTACGAAGATGAGAAAAATAAAATTTCCATATATAAATTAAACTAAAGAAAAAAAAATAAAAACGACCCAATTTCGATCTGCACTTATTTAGTTATAAATTGGTCCACAAATTTTTTAATTTTTTATTAACAAAATAAATCTCAACATCTCATTGTCTTGCAAAATAAGTGCAATGGTGATTAAAGAATGACATAAAAGATTGATCATTTTTCGTAAAGTTATAAATAGATCTAGTAATCAATGAGAATTATAATTCAATATAATTTTTTTAAATGCACATTGACAAAATTTTTGTAAAGTAATACGAAAAAGACATTAATAAGTTGTGTTTAACTTTATGGTATATGATAAGAAAAGAACATGTATGTAAAACTAACATTATGGTATATGATAAGAAAAAAGTAGTTACTGCATTAATAAGTTGTGTTTAACTTTATCAATGTTCAGTTGCGATAACATGCTCTCATCACTCTCTTATGAAAAAAAAAATTTTATATAAACAAATTCAAACGACAATAGACATATTATGCTAGTTTTATTTATAAAATTTTATGCTGCAATTGTGTATTTATTAAAATACTTATTTTTTTTGCATGAAATCCATGACAATTGTAATTCAATGTAATATTAAAATACTTATTTTTGCATGAAACCAATGAGAATTGTAATTAAATATATTTTTTAGAAATGCACATTGACAAAATTTTCGTAAAGTAATACGAAAAAGACACTTATATTATATTATATAAAATATAAAAGGATTTTTTTTTTTTGTGAAATTAATATTATGATATATGATAAGAAAAAAGTAGTTGATGCATTATAATAAGTAGTGTTTACCTTTGTCTACTGCTATGTTCAGTTGCAATAATATGCTCTCATCATTTTCTTATGAAAAACCAACAGTTGTTATGTGAATATAAATTAAACGATAACTGATACATTGTGTTAATTTTATTTATAAAAGTTTTAGCTAATAATTGTGTATTTATTAAAACAAAGAAGGGGAACCACTTTTCACCTTCTTTTGGATAACCTCACATTTAAGCTCAAATGAAATAAATGGTACAAATAATTATTGGATCAAATATTCAATCAATAGGACCATTCAAAACTATATTATCATTTCTTATCACTCATATTGTTGTTGAGACCTCTCACTCTTTATGTTATTATTTTTTAATTTTTTTCTTTTTCATTTCACAATATCATTTTGCAATATTCTTATATTGCTTACCCATAAATGTAACTAAATTAGATGCTATGTTTGAACACTAAATCAATTATTTTTATATTGTATACAAACAATGACAATAAATGTTCACTTCATTGTACAAAATAAAAGTGTATGTCTATACATATCGAATTGTTTTTTATTATTACTTTAAAGTTGTATTTTTATTTTCTTATTATATTAAAAAAATACTCAAGATGATCACCATCAATGTTAGATCAATAGCCCAAACATAGTTTGCATGAAATTTAAGATAATTATGATTAACTTATTATTTATATATATACAAAATTATTTCCAAATAACAATAATAAAACATTTAATAATAATAATATATAAGTTTGAAACAATAAAAAATAAAACTAACAATTGTGATGTATGATGAAGAAAAAATAGTTGTTGCATTTATTGCAAGTTTTAAAACTTTATATGTCGCAATGTTTCGATAAAGATGATACATTATAGTCATTCTTAAGAAAAAAATTTACCATATACAAATAAAACATTAACAATAAAATTAACCCGTTGTGTCTTCAGAAATTATAGTTGTATAATTATGGACCAATAAAAAAATAAAAACGAATGCAAAAATTTTATGCGCATTTTTTGAGTGGCCTCTTCCAGATTTAAAAAAATAAAAAATAAAACAAATTATACCAACTAAAAATACAAAGCACCAAAAACCAATATGAAACAACCTAAAGTATAGTTGAAAGTTTATTTAAGAAATGAACAATATATATGCATATTTCTTTTCAGTTTTCACAATTAAATTCATGAGTTGTCTCTTTAAAATGATATTTTCTCTTCGTTTGTAAGTTATCATTTGTAATTTATTTTTTTTAACAGTAAATGTAGCCAGATTTCATTTTTGAATCCTAAGATGTCTTATATTTTTTTTTTCTTTTGTTTTCATTATTTCATATTCATGGTTTATTGCTAAAGAAAACTTAAATCTATATATATAGTTCTTTTACCCAAGTAAAGGTTATTCAATGTTTTCGAAATCTATTTCATATTGATATAAAGGATCATCCCCAAAAATTATAGATGATATTTTTTCTTGAAAAATGCATCTCTTTTAGTTGAATAAATTATGTATTTATGATAAATATAACTTCATTATTTTTTTATCTCTCTCTATTTGTATTTATTTATTATTTAAGAAAATATATTATAAAATAAAATAAACAAAAGCATGAAATTTAGAAGTCTAAGTTCTCATTTTTGTTAAAAAAGAATGACACGTTGCTTGACTAACTCTTACTCTAGCTCACGTAGTTTGTGAATGATTAGATTTGTACAAATTAAATTAAAAGATCTTTATTAAGAATGAGATATTCAATGCAAATAATTTAATGATCACTTGTAATTTTTAGAATTACATAAAGATATAAAATAATATAATGTTAGATTAATTAAGAGATGTTAAATGTTTTCTTAATGTGTACGTAAATTTCATCATAATAGAGTATATGTGTCAAATGTGACATGGTGCTAGTATTAAAAATGTATATGTAAACATTTGAACATGCCTATGTTAAAATAAACGACGTATAATCGTAAATTGCCACATCAAATTTATAAGTTTTATCTATATATATGCAATATAGATACTAAAATAAAAACTATATAAAATATTTATTTATTATATTACATGTGGATCTCATATTACTATGATTTTTCCTATTTTACCTTGAAATATCCCAACATAACCGAGAAAATTATTATTGTGTCGGATGTTCCAAAACGAATAAAAAAACAAATGATTTTAAATAAAAGATTTTAGTTTCAAATTTATTTAAATGATTAATTAAATGAGATTTATAATTTGTTTTATAAGAAAAAAGTATAATATATAAGGAAAGGAACTCATACTCACAAACGGAAAGAGAGACAAATAATAATTGGGATATTGAAATGAGAATTCATAATAAATAATTATGTATAAGATTGAATATTATTTATAACAAATAATTATGTAACTCACGAAGAAAAAAATATCTAATGCAAGTTTGGAATGCATATTCACAGGAATTGATCATGACAAAAAAAAAATATATTTATTTGTAACTAATAATTATGATATTGTTTGAATGTAAATAATACATAAAAATTAACAATATTTATTTCATGGAAATATATGTAGTTGATGCATTTATTTAGCAAGGGAAGTTGGAGCTCTGTGTAACAACTTTTTTTTTTATTGTTAAATCATGCATTCAAATTAATAAAATTTATTTTAATGTATTATACTTAGTTTTGGAGGGAAAATTATTTCCTCCAAGCTTGTCCAATTATATATGTATATATGTGGATTACATAAAGATATAAAATAATATAATGTTAGATTAATAAGACATGATTACATATTTTCTTAAGGCGTACGTAAATTCCATCATAATAGAGTATATGTGTCAAATGTAACATGGTTATACTGTATTATATGTAAACATTTGAACTTCTGTGTGTTAAAATAAACGACATAAAATCGTAAATTGACATGTAAAATTTAAAAGTTTATATACATATATGCAGTATAGATACCAAAATAAAAATTATTTAAAATATTTATTTATTATATTACATGTGGATATCACATTAGTTATGATTTTTTCTGTTTTATTTTAAAATTTCCCAATATAACCAAAAAAATTAATATAGTGTTTGATGTTCCAAACAATGATTTAAATACCGTACCGTACCGACCGGTAATACCGGATACCGGCCATTGGTACGGTATAATTACACTGAAAATACCAAATTTACGGTTATACCGGTTTCTACCGGAATCATACCGTAAGTACCGGTCCAAAATACCGATCAATAATAAAAAAAAATTAAATTTATTAATAAAAAAACATAAAATTTAAATTGGTAGTTAAATATTTTATTTTTATCTCATTGAGAAGTTGAAATTAATGATTATAGTCATTTATTTTTTTACTTTTTTGCATTTAGTATTATATATTTTTATGTATATTTATATATATCATTGTATTTGTTAGTCCGGTAATACCACTGATATTACCAGTCATACCGGTAATACCGCGTACCGGTGGCTAGACTGGTATGACTAGCGGTACGATATTTAAAACACTTGTTCCAAACATGTAATGCCCCGTTTATTTGTGGATTATTTGGGATTTATTATTATTATTTTTATTATGATTGCTATTATTATTATTATTAATTGGTGATAATATTTATATTTTATTTTATTGAATGCTATTATGTTTATTTATTTGTCAAATGTGATTAAATGCTAAATTGTGAAATTTGTCTAATTGTTTAATTGATTTTGTGATTTATTAAATTATTAGTATGAATAAATGTGTATGTGATAATGTGTAAAATATATATATTTAATATTTTTCGATTTATTTTTATCGCGCGTTTGCATTCGGAATCGAGCCCGATAATTTTGTTGTGATCGAATTGGGCCCGAATATATCTGTTTGAATTTTTATTTGAGCCCGTGAGCTGTCTTGTTGTCCCAAACGGCCCAAAAATCTTTTTGACCCAAATTTCTCGGGCCCGGCCCGACAGATTTTCCTTTTTCTTTTATTTTGAACGTGATTTCATGTCTTGGGCAACAAGAAATTTTGTTCTTTTCCCAAACCTAATATACNAACGCCACCACAGCGAAGCCGCAACCTGCCGCTGCTCGCTGCTCCTCCGCGCATCGTCCATCAACGTCGGCGTGAAGAAACCAGTCCGGCGCCCCTCTGCTGCGTTTTTCCGGCGATTTCTGTTCGTCCTTCGAGCAGCCCGCGAGCCCCGACACCGTGACCACTTCCGAACGTGATCTCCGACGAGCAGCTTCTCTTCCGGAGAGCTCGATTATTCTCCGAGCAGCGACGTCCGGCGACTTCCCGACGAGCCCGTGAATCAGCAGCAGCGAACTTTCTCCTCCCGTGCGACGGCCCTTCTCTTTCCGGCGAGACGCGAGAATCCGTCGAGCCCCGTTCGTGTTCGTCCGTTTTTCGTTTGATTCCCGAGAACGGTACGAAGGCTCGATCCTGTCTCGTTTTTATCGATTATGTCATTTATGAATATGTATGATTTGCGTGACATAAATATTATACGTTAATGTGTTCGTTATGATTTTACGTGAGAAGTATGATTTTATGTGTTATCGTATGTGTTCGGATCTCTTCGATTTTCTCGAAAATTGAACGAGACCTCGAAAGTCGTGTGGGTCCATGGATAATGGAACAATGTCGAGCCCTTGGTCTTATGAAAAGGCCTCGGACGATAATTTGTGTGTTGTGATTTAATTTTCGAGTTGTCGAGCCTTATTGTCGCTGTTTTGATGTTCGAATTTTTAAAAATAGCTCGCTGCTCGAAACGACGTGAAATTTTGTGAGATGTGTTATCTGTTCGTTTCCTACCTTGTGTAAAATTTTCATAATTTTTGGAGACCTGTAGCTATTTTTAATAATTAAATTGTTTTCTGTCCAGAAAATTGTTAAATGCATAATAAATTCATACTTGTCTGAAATGAGCTGAAATTCGAATATGTCATGCCTCTGTGACCTATATGTGTTGTGTTAAATGTTCAGAATTTTTGGAGTTGAATTGATATGGGTAATATTTTATTTATCGATTCTGCAGAAAGGATGTTTTAATTTTTAAAACTCGGATATTGCATAGAAAATTCTGAAATTTTACTGAGAGTCATATTTTAGGTGTTTGATCATGTTTGTAAAATATGAAAATTTTCAGAGTCCGTTTTGTTTCAGTTTGGATTTAAATTCAATAAACTGCTGTTTCTTATTTGAATTTTTATAAATAGGAACAGTTATTGTTTAAGGCTGAAAATTTTATAAGTAAACTTTGGCATACTGGATGTTGCTGTGTAAAATTTTCAGGTTCAAATTCATTCACTAAGTCTGAGTATGGATTAATGTGCCCTTTTTGCTGAATTACTGTTTGAATTTTATAAAATAGGGTATGTTGAGTTTAAAGCTGAAACTTTGTGATATTACATATTTCTGGGAGATGAAATTTTGTATAAATTTTCAGAGCTTAATTCGTAGGATATCTTGATCAACTATTTTTCACGCGATTAAATGATTTCAATTTTCGAGTATAATTGTTATGTGGAAGTTGAATTGACTTGCTTGCTGGTTTTTTTTTTATGTAAGTTTGACTTGGTCAAACCTTAGATGGATTTTTGTGAACTCCCTTAAGTGTTTTGGTCGTGTTTAGTGCCGAGTCTTAGTGTTCCACATCCACAGGACTTCACGAACTACTTAGTCGGATCGAGTTCGACTAGGTCTGTCTTGTGATTTCCAGTTTAAGTCGAGATAGATTCTGATTGTAGGATCTTGACATCGTGTAGGTGTCTAGAGGTGTTGATCTTGCCTTGGTACGAGATTTGTGACTGTGAAACGTGCTGCTATCAGGTGGGTACATTTATGATGTATTCCATATTTATCGCACTTAATATTTCGTATAAATGCTTTGTTTGAAAAGTGATGTATGCATGAGAACTCTAGTCTAAGTGTCCCGAACGATAGTGCCTTTGACGAATGCATAACAGTGAGAGGTCACCTGCCCGTTGTATCCGGGAGGCGACGCCCTGATCCGTGTGAGTTTCGGGGGGGAAAAACATCTCCACTGTCTCCTGGAAAACATCCATGATCCGTGAGTAGTTCGGGGTGGACTCCCATGATCCGTGTGAGTTTCGGGGTGGGGGAAATTTTCCAGTTACGGCCTTGCCGATGTTTGGTCGGAAGGTTGTTGTATGTACATAGGAGGTTTGCGATAGGGCCGGGTAGGGGGTTTAGACTGTTGGATTCTATGCATACTGATTATTGTGTTACTGCTTTTAAAATAATTATACGAGATAACCGTGCGATAATGGTGAGCTAGTTGGTTGCTCACCCCCATTATTTTCTTTGTTGTTTCTCTCTTCCTTTGTTTTAGGTTGAGATGAGCTGGAGGCGGTGGCGTAGGACGAGCGAGATGGTGGTCACTGTTTGATGATATATTGTGCTTCCGCCTGTTAATGATTTGTTGAACCGGAACTTGACTTGAATTATTTTCTCGCTTGAATTTGGATATTTTATTATGTGTTTATATCCCTGCTTGATTTCGTATGCTGATTATGTGTTGCGCATGAACTTGTTACTTAATTATTTGCTTTCATACTTTGGATTAATTCTTGCTTCCGTTTTTGAATTATGTTTAAGTTTTGGTTGAACCTTGTTTCATGCTAGACCTATTTGAATGTTTTGAGACTTATGAATTTAAGGGAATGATTTGGAAATTTATGATTTATGAGATTGTCAATTTGATAGCTCGAGCATGTGTAGGTTCATTAGATTGTTTGATTGAGTGTGTTTATTTGTTGTGGTTAATAAGTAGCGCCCGTTTCTCGATAAATGTTTTAGCTTGTATAAAAAAAAAATAACCCTGATTTTTATTAAATAAATTCGATAAATTCTTTAAAATAAAACGGGGCGTTACAAAACACCTTTCTTCACAAATGACCTTTGAATGGTAAATAATACATAGAAATTAATATATATTTATTTCACAATAAAATTAATATAGTTATGAATTATGATATTATTTGAATGGTAGATAATACATAGAAATTAACATTATTTATTTCATGGTAATAGATGTATATTTATTAACAATATTTATTTACCTTTGAATGTTAAATAATTCATAGAAATTAACAATATTTATTTCATGGTAATAGATGTAGTTGAAGCATTTATTTAGCCAAGAGAAATTGGAGTGCAAATTCCAATACAATTATTTAGATGTAACAAAGTACTTTTCTTATTGTTTTAATGATATATCATGCATAAATTTTGACAAAATTTAATTCAATCTATTAAATGAAGTTTTGGAGGGAAAACAAACTTATTTTTAGCTGCTCCGCTTTAATATATATATAGATAGATATAGGTCATGTAAGAAATGGACTCAGTGTAAAAAAATATATACTCTAATGCAAATGCAAGTAGATTGAGTCTTGTTTATGTGACAGCAATAAAAAGAGACTCATTTTACCATTAAATCTATTTTAGATTCAAGAATTTTGTTACTTTTATATATTTTTTAGTCTACTTACGTGCCACGTAAGCAAAATTAGTGATAAAAGGACATTTTTTTATAATTCTTTATTACTTAAGTGATATAATATCTCATTCCTACCCAATAGTATTATTATTTTATGTTTTGTAAAAGTATTTTTTATATTTTAATTATTGATCAATTTTTTAATTATTGTGATGGTTCATTAATATGACTATCTTTCTTCTCTTTTTTCTTTCTCATCACTTACCACTGGTGCTATTAAATTAAACGAGTCTGGCTCGAGTTCGAGGTCTTAACGAGCCGAGATCGAGCTCATTTAAAGCTCATTTGGCTAGCTCGTCTCGACAAGGCTCGTTAAGGCTTGAAAATATAACTTTTATATAATTTTTTTATAGTTCGGCTTGTTAAAGCTTGAGGCCTTAACGAGCCGAACTCGAGCTCGATTTCAGGCTCATTTATTTAACGAGCCGAGTTCGGCACGTTAAGGGCTCGAGCTCTAGCTCGAGCACCCTAAGCTCGAGCTCGGCTCGGCTCGTTTACATCCCTACCTACCAAACACGCTATTCTATCTATTGTTCTTCTCAATTTATTATTTTCTTTCATTTCATTAGACGTTAAATTTCAAATCTTCCCAATTTTTCTTCTCTGAATTCTCCTCAAAAATCAATTTCTTCAATCTATCTCTGAAAATTCTCAACCCCTAAAAACTCCTTGTTTTCTTCTCCTCGCACTCGTCACTTATGGCTTCTAAAAACAATCATCGGTGACTAGAATCACTTGTGATGTGATGAGAGTCAAGCCTCGTCGTGGCTACTATTTTGGCCCTGTTTTCTGTAGACGGCAGCCCTACTTATGAGCGGCAATGAATGGAAAATTCAGAGGCAAACGGTTAAGGGTTGTGCTGCGGCCCTGGGCTCGACTCATGAGCGGCGAAGATTGTCGGCGCAGAGGAGTTGGTGGCGCTGGGTCGAGCGATTGTCGTTGCAGGGGACTTGTCGGGCATCTGAAGTTTTAGAGGCTATTGTGATCATAAAACCTATAGTTGTCTCTATTAATAAACTACAATAAACCAACCAAACGGGCTGGGCAGAAGTGGATTAGACCAAATGGCCTAATAGAATTGGACAGTTCAGGCACCTGGGCAGCACAAACGGGCAGTTTGGGTAGACGGACAGCTCGTTGGGCAGTGATGGGCAACAAGACACCACCTCTATATAAATGGGTGAGGTATGACAATACAAATTCTACACACCCTCTACATACTTACTTGAAATATTCTACTACTGTACATCATCTTCTTATGACTTAAGCGTCAGAGGCTCTAAGTCGAAAAATCCCCGATATTGAGTTTGTGCAGGTATTATAGGTCACCAACCGGCAAGAAAGACAATTCAAGTCGAACCGAGTCGGAATGTCTTTTATATACCACTATTAAATAATAAATTTAAAACAATTATTTTATAGCAAGTGAAATATTAATATCGCATATATTAAACTATTATATATCATAAAAGTAAAAAAATAATTTTAATATTTAAAATATTTTATACTAATTACTGTTTTTTCATTATTTTAAATTGCAAAAATATGAAATGTGGTGTATTAATATGTAATTTTGTCTTATTTTTACTAGTAAACTTATAAACCAAAACATTGAAGCTCATCCCACAGCCATAAGCATAGCTTGTATTGAATTCATACGCATGCGAGCCTACTGCAGTGTACACACATTCATTCAATAAATAAACCGATCCCCGTTAACACTCCTGCTCAAAACCCTATATATTTTTCTTTCTAAAAACTCACGCCCACACGCATATGGAGGACGACGATGACTTCGGAGATCTTTATACAGACGTCCTTCGGCCTCTGACGGCGACGCATCCGACTCACGCCGACCGAACCGTCGACGAGACGTCCCCCCAGAGCCGCTCGATCGATCCGCCTATCAACAGCGATGATGAGGAGACTCTCCATGGAGCTGCCGATTTGAAGGATCCGTGCCTAATATCGAATGCCTTAATTCAAGAAAAAACCCTACCCAAACCGGATCGCCTGTCCGAACATGGAGGATTCAATTTGAATATCGGTTCCAATTCGAGGGCTTCTAAGCTTCCTGGCGATGGTGGCGTGAGGTTGGAAGCCACCACGGTGGAAATACGGGAAACGGGTTCTTCAGGGGGATTCAATTTTTTGGAGGACGAAGATGATCTGGACATCGTGGTGGAGGAGAGAGACTACAAACACGATGACATGGTCGAGAAAGACGTCAACGTTATGGACAAACAAAAGAAGTTCAGGGAAAACACGAGTGCGGCCCAAGGTCCAGGTGGAAAAACGGGCCCTGACCAGAAGATTCCGGGGCTGGGTCCCAATTTTGCAGACGAGTGGGAAAGTGATGACAGTGAAGATGATCTGCAGATAGTTTTGAATGATAGCCACCACGGGCCATTGGGGATGGAAAAGATGCAGGGAATGGACGTTGAAGATGGTGATGAGGACGGAGATCAGTTGGTAATCGTTGCGGATAATGGTGAAATGGGCCACCACCACCAGCCAATTCTCGATGAGAGAGAGCTGGGAACTGAGGAAGGAGGGCCAACAGCCGATGGGGAGAGGAAGGAGTCAGGTGATGCCACTAAGGCTGGTGGAGTTCAGCCGAAGATTGGGTACAGCAATCACTTGTACCATCACCACCCATTCCATTCGCAGTTCAAGGTCAGCAATCTTGTTCGATGAGAAACATATTGGATTGTGAGTTGGATACTAAGGTGCAAATTGTAACTGTTTATATAGTGAAAGGTTTTGGGCTGTTAGTGATGCCATGGGTGATTTAGATACAATGTATTTGAGTTTCAGTATTGTTCATGGGATATATATAATAAACTGTATGGGATTCTATTATGTTTGTCAATGAAGTTAATTATATTCGTTCAGATTTTTTTTTTTTTTTTGTTTTTTTTTGTTTGAGGTAGGTAGGTTAACTAATATCTGTGGATTTCTTCAAAAAACACCACCATTGCTGAAGCCCCAGCAGGGATCATGTGGCAGGATAATGGGATCTCTGTAGACATATTTGCTTAGCTTTTTATGCTAACATTCTGGGTGGACAATTCTTTTACCATACTTAAGGGACAAAGATAATTAAATGAAATAGTGAAGCCTTGGCGCAATAACCTGGCATTCTGCATTTTCGTTATAACACTCAATTGATTCAGATAACATAAAAATGTCTTGTGGAGATGAGAACACAAAAGATTTTGTTACATTTATGAAGCTTGAGAGATACACATAATGTGGATGTTGCTAGGTGAGCCTGGACATCAGTTGTTTCCATGCAAACAATATTTGGAATTATTATGAAATTTTTAGATGTAACAATAGTAGTAGAAATTCTACCTAATGAGTTTGTTCATATATAAAGCCACTTGGTTACCTCAAACTGCTATTAGTTTTCAATTTTCTGAAAGTTTTTGTCCTTTGGCTGCACGGACTTCTGCTTTCTAACGTTTTATGAAAGGCTAATCTTAATGGTCTATCACTTGACCCCAAAAGCTAGGTCAAGCTTTGCAACCATAAGTGCAAAATATACGTCAAATATGACTTAGTATTTGTTCAATGTGTTAAAAGTTCTATTACAATGGCTTGACTCTATGTTTCCTTCTATTGGAATATCATGGAACAATTCCAGAAAGCTATAATTAAGATGACATTTTTAAAATCTTTATTTGAAATACGGAACTCTATAAAGAATATATCTTTTCTATTTCAATTGTGAGCCTGTTAGTCTGTCATGAAAACTTACTTTAACTAGCAATCTCCAGAAAATTCATTTCAATCTGTATCTTGAATGCGTAATGTTATTCTAAGTCATCATACACAGTACTTGAGGACTGATATGGGACTGTCTTGTCGAATTTGTTGTGTTGCAGAAGTTTTACAGTATCAATGCCTCTGGTTCTAGTTGTTTGGTAGAGTTGCCTTTCTTCTTGATCAATAACGTTGATTTCCCCCCTTTTCTCTTTCCTCTTTTTGTGTTATTTGGGATCTTCTTAGTATGTGAGACCTGGTGCAGCACCATTGCCAGGGGGAATTCAAGGTCTAGTACGTCCACCCGTTACTGTGGGCCCTGGAGCTGGACGTGGTAGAGGTGAATGGAGACCAAGAGGCCCTGTCCCCATGCAAAAGGGGCTTCATCCTGGTTATGGCATGCCTGGTTGGGGACCTAATACGGCAGGACGTGGTTATGGAAGTGGATTGGATTTCACCCTTCCATCACATAAGTAAGCTCTTCACTGTTTGCTTGAACATCATTACACGAATTTAGCTACGTACAATCTGAGGATAGTCTTAGCATCTTGCTAAAAGTTTTAAGTTTTTGCATGAATGTTGTGTTTCGGCCAGCTGATACATTGTATTTTTTGAGCTTGATCCTATTGGTTTGTGAAATGATAATTCTCTTAGTTTTCATTTTAATATCTTTATGTTATATCCTGCTTAATTAAGAAATTTCATTTGAGTCTGCTTGGTAGTCAAACTAGCTTCATGTTGACTGATTCCAAATTTTCTTTACTTATATGATTCACAAATCCCATATTTGTGTCGATGTTGTTAGAAAGTTTTCTTGAGGGTGGTATACGTATGATTAAATCTGTTTCTTTTCCTTATTCTGTGGTTTTCTCTGTGGCGTCGAGACTGTTGCCAGTTTATTTTCTTTATCAGATCATGCAAACACACACAGACACACACATATCCTAATGCTTATCAAATGTAGTTTCTTGGATAATCCCCAGTCCTGTGGCTAGTAAAATCTCCAGGGGGGATCGTTTAGATGGAAAATCATCTTTGATATAATCCCTTTGCTTATCGAGTTCTATGCATTTCAAGTGTTGAAAAGCATTTTTTCCACACTATATTTGCTCGAATGATGTAATTAATTATTATGCATAACATCAATGTCGTCGACTTGGCACTGTTATCTGTGACAATGTAGTCCAACGGAATATTAATTTTATGCAAACCTTCAATGTAGCTGACATGCTCTGTAACATGTGACATTGTAGTCCTACTGGAGATTAATTTTAGTGGTTCAATATTTTGACGGATATTTTGTCGCTCTTATTATAATTTGTTACTATGTTATTACGTTTACATTTTTAGGACAATTTTTGAAGTTGACATTGATGGGTTTGAAGAAAAACCATGGAGGCTTCCAGAAATTGAAATGTCAGACTTTTTTAACTTTGGCTTGAATGAGGAGGGTTGGAAAGATTACTGCAAACAACTGGTACATAAGTGTCCTATGTCTAAAACGTCTCTCAATTTAGTTATCTGCAGAGACAAAGTGAAGGTGTAATATTTCTTTTCCACTCAACCTAGAAGAAGCTAATAATGGACTTTGAAATATCTAGGAACAACTCCGTCTTGAGACGACTATGCAAGGCAAGATCCGTGTCTATGAAAGTGGAAGGATGGAACAGGTAACGTCTTTGGTTTTTATATTTGATTGTAAATTTAGTAGTCATGTTTACACGTGTGGTGGCCATATTTTTGGTCCCTCTCGTTTTCTTGTTTCCTACTCTCCCATTTCAAACTCAGAAATTATTTGTAAATTTTTTCACATTATTCGTCTCAGTTACTCTTTGGTGTCACATTTAGGATTACGATCCAGATCTTCCCCCCGAGCTTGCGGCAGCAGTTGGTAACCAAGAAGTTCCATCCGAGAATGGAAATGCTGGGGCGGGAGAAGCATCTGACTTAGCAAGAGGAAGTGCAGCTCTGCCATCAGTTGTATGTATATTATTCAATCTGAAAGCGTGTGTTAATGAGAATACTTAGACAAAGTAGTAATGGGCTGAAAATTGTGTTTCTCAATGGAGGAAATATTGATGTGGTGAACAACTGTATCTAGTTTCCTTGGGTGTATTTAAATACGTCATGTTAAATTTGAAGCCTGAATTTCTGGCTTGTTTATCACTGATATTTTCTGGGAAAGCCATTCCCAGGCTTGGGTGTTGACTCGGATGTTATACAGAAAGAAAGTCGAGCATCATTTGGTATGCCGAAAATAGATAAATAGGCTAGGGAAACACAACTGTCATTGTTATTAGTTTATGGGAATCTGTGACGTCGGAGTTGTTCCCTGTAATTCATTGTACCAATTTAAGGTTTCTTCGTCTTTAATTTGTGAGTTAACGTAAAGAACTGTATGAACCCTTCTTGTTTGTATTTATTTTTTTCGTGTAACCTCTCTGATTTCTGCATTCGCCACTGCATTTTACAAGTAAGATACTTCACATTCGAAAAATAGAATGCAGGGTGGACTGCAGAAAATATTTGGTGCTTTAATGATGAAACGGAAGCACAAAAGATTATGGGGGTTAACAGTTTAAAAAGCAGTCAACATTTGAATATAATGGGTATATGTTTATGAGAATCCTAATCCCACCTGCTTTCTCTAATTTGGACTGCAGCCTGTTGGCCGGTCAATACCAGTAGAGACTGGCTCTGGTGATCGTCTCCCATCAACTGACACCAGGCGTCCGAGAATGCATGATGCAGATGCTATTATTGAGGTAAGCGTTTGCCATGTTCTCTATTTGAGCATGAATCTCTCTTTTTTTTTTTTTTCATGTCAATCTGTGATACTTCAGTGCAACTCTAATTTTATAGTGTTGCCTCTGGTAAACAGATTGTCTGTCAGAGTTCCAATGATGATGACATGGCAGAACAACAAGACAATGATGTTGTTGGAGAGGATATTGGAGGAGTTGACGATATTGATGTTGTTCAAGAGGATGATGCAGGTCATGTTGATCATTCTTCACATGCGTATAAAGAAGGTGAGAACAAAGAAATTGTTGCGAGAAAGAAGCAGATTGCAAGCCGTGATGAGCTAGGAGGCAAGGGTGATCCTCGTGAACAAAGGTATGTGGATGTTTTTTCCTTGCTACTTTCACATGGTAATTTTATTTTTTCTTCTCTTCAAATTTACCTTTGAATGTAACCATTGTACACGATTGAAGGAATTCTTGAGATTTCTCGTTTTGCTAACTGCTAGATGAGCCACAAGGGTACAATGCTAATGCCTAATTGTTTGTATTCGATATGACCACATTTAGTGGTGATGCAAAGTGCAGACTTCACACACTCCAATTATTAAATTAATAAAAAGAAAAGGATCACACTGGTCAGAATCAAAACAAGATGATAACAAAGCCAATACAGATATAAATGACTGCCACTACTATCTGATTATTTAAATAGGCTGCATGTGATTGATAAAGGATTTCAGAACCCTTAGCCCTGATGTTCTATTTTCCCCTTTCACATCAAATTGTGCCCTAGCATATCACCTAGAGAACACCTAGGTCACCATGACTTAAACATGCTGGATTGCATACATCCTCTCAGATTTATTGACCTCCCCTCCGTCGTCCATTTTGGCTAAAACTTTCTGTTCGGTCTATAATATTTCTCTTAGGGCTTGATTGTTTATGAAATAATTTGTTTAAAATGAGTTATTTTGGTTAACCATAGTTAATTTTGAAAAAGGTAGTATGATTAGTTGTTATGGAATTTTAAGAATGTATTAAAATAATATTTAAAATAAAATGATTAAAATTGATTTGATGTAAAAGTAGGAGATAAATGATTAGAAATGATTGGAAATGATCGGTAGTTAAAATTATGTGAGTATATAAAATTATGTGAGTATATGAATAGTGAATTAAAGTTGACGTGATGTGTAAGAATGATTGGTTTGTATTATTTAATTATATGAATAATAGTAAAAATAGTGGAGTTGAGTTAAAGTTGAGTTAAATTTTGAGTATGAAACAAATGTGAGCAAATTATTTCATAAACAATCAAGCCCTTTAGTAATTCACATTAGCATTGTTGCGAAGCTCCAGGTTTCATCTGCTGATTTATCTCCTTCTATGTACACTTTGTGTGACCACAGGTACACAAAGGGTACCAGGCAGGCAAAATCACCTACGAAGACGAACCCCAGTGATGACGATGATGGAGACAAACAGGTAACCGATAATCAGAACGAGCCATTTTACAGTGAGGATGGAAAACAAAACCCGGTTTTGTCATCTGAAGATGCCGAGCCGGCCGTGGCCATTGAGGATGATGACACCAACGGTGACTCCACAATGGACGACGAGAAAAGCCTTGATGATGACAAGGAGAGAGAAAACTCCAAGTTTGGGGGCATTGCTAGATCAAAATCTAGATGTGTGGACCACCGTGAAAGAACAGAGGATTCCCATCCGTGGGGAGGTGGGGCCCACCGGCATTGGAGGGGCGAGAGCGCGGATCACTGGCGGAAGAGGGACAGAGTCGAGAGAGATGAGGGACTGAGGCCGAGGGAGAGGGACGATTTCGTAAAAACCCAACATAGAAAAGCGGACGACGCTCACAACAAGCGAAGGAAAGACAGGACGTATTCCGACCGTGGGAGTGTTGCCGGAAAGGAAGAGAAATCCTACAGTCATAACAGAGAGAGCAGTCGTAGGAAGAGAGAAAGAGATGATGATGATGCCCGTGCAAAGTCAAAGGATGACGATACTTATTACGGCAGACAAAAAGAAGTGACAGGTGCACGGGCTCCTGAAGACAAAAAGTGGATCGGTAATTCGCGTGGGAAAGACGATTACAAAGGATCTGGAAGAGATTACCGCTCGAGAAACGTGGATCGGCTCAAGAGAAGGGATCGAGTTGAAGATAATAGCTTTTCAAGGAGTAGGGGCCGTGAGGATGCTCATGCACGTGGAAGCCGTCAAGGTAGTAAGGACGAAAAGAGGACAGCAAATGAGAGACTTGACCGTGAAGTCTATGCTTCTGATATTTCTTCTAGGCAGCATGAACATAATAGGCAGAAAGTGGGAAGTAGGAAGGATATGGAATTTGAAAGTGGGGAACATAGTTCCTTGAATCCTTCTGAGAGGAACCACAATGATGGGCATAGCGGCCAGATGAGTGAGATGGTATGTATTACTTTTAAGTGTTTTTATTTTTGTTAGATTCTGCGACTGTGCAAGTTATAATTTCAAAATTTTAGCTGAATTTTCATGATACAAATGAGTAATAAGATGCTAGGTGTATTTTTGGTGATATCTGATTATCCAAATGGCTAGAGAATGAAGTCATGGTGGTTTCAGTTTTATTGGTTTTCAGTGTTATCTTGAAGAAACATGGTTGTATCCTTGACTTCTGAATCTTCTTTTGCTTTTTTTGGTATTTATTTTTCTTAGAGGTGAGGTGTATATATGTTGCTAAAAAGATAATGGATACTCAGTTGTACAAGACCTGTGCAGACTCTATATCTCTTAATTGCTCTACTATTCTGTTCGAGATGCTTGATTGTGCAGACTCTATATCTCTTAATTGCTCTAGTATTCTGTTCGAGATGTTTGGTTGTTCAAGTTACTTAGTTAATCGTTAGAACCACCACATTCAGATGTAGTTGATCTTTGTTTACGAAACAGATACCAGTCTTACCCAGTAGGATAAACTATAAAAAGTTAATATTAAAGGAAAAAGTTCTTTTTCACTATTGTTTGGCTTCTTCATTTAAGCCATTGAAAGCCTAATCATGAATCTTTCATTGCTCTGCCGCTCTAGGCTCAACCACTTCAGGGACTTTCTATGATATGTCATCAAGTCACATGGAATAAATAGCGTCATACACAAATGAAAAAAAACATCCTGTGAAAACTAACTATGTGTGCATGTTAAATTTGTTTTTGCCTCTTCTAAGTAGTTGTCGAAATTTATTATTTCAATTTAGCAATGTGTTTACTTGTCATGCCAATTGAGAAGTTATTGGTCTAGGTGATTTCTTACTACTACCAAATCACTGTATTAGTATGCAGTTGGGTGTTACAGGGCATGTTGGTAACATTTGGGATTTTATATATATATATTTTTTTTCCTTCGTTACTCCCAATAGTTTATGCTTTTTGATAAGCTAATCACATACTTTTCCAGAATATCTGATGACGTAAGGATTAGCTGTTCAGAAAAAAAAAAAAAAAAAAGAAAAATAAATCTTATCAGTTTCTGCTATATCTAATCTTGCTTTACTGGCTGATCAGTGAGATTGCTGTTGTGGAAGTGTTTTCTCTTATATGACGCCCCTTTTTTTATTCATGAATTTGGAGCCTGGACATTGCTTGGGTTCCAACTTCCAATAATATATATATTCATTCAGCTGAGATCAGATATATTTTAATTAATTGCTTATACCAAGCTGCTCTATATATATTTTAACTTATTGCTTGTGATTTTGGATTCAAAGAATTTATCTTCTTTTCTCCTACTTTTTCTCTGCTGTTAGGCGAACTTGAGAGCCAAAACCGAGCAGTCAAATCCCGAGACCAACCGCCAGCTCTCAAGAAATGACGGAGAAGAAGCTTCCTCAGACGATGAGCACCGTACAAACTCCAAAAGAGGACGCTCCAAATTCGAGCGCTGGACTAGCCATCAAGAGAAGGATTTCACTACAACCTCGATTTCGTCACCATCTTCTTTTAAGAACACCAATAAAGACTCGGACACACCAAACAGCACCTTGGCTTCTTTGGCGAAAAACATGGAATATAATAAGTCCGAGGCCTTTGCCCACGATAAAGACGCGAATGCAAAACCAGTGATTGACGATAATAGACACATGGACACGGTGGAGAAACTTAAGAAAAGGAGTGAACGTTTTAAACTTCCTATGTCAGGCGGAAAAGAATCTGTGGCTGTTAAGAAGGTGGAGCGTGAGTCTCTGCCTTCTTCTGCACAAACTGAAATCCAACTGGATTTGGAGATCAAGCCCGAACGCCCGGCCCGTAAAAGGAGATGGACTGGAAATTAAGATTGTACCTTTATTTTCTTTTACTATTTTGTTTCTGTGGGAAACTTGAGAGGTGTATACATACATATATATACACACACCCCTTTGTGAAGTAGCATTTGCAGTGGCCAGTGATGAGGCACGACTTTTGATTGTTCTTATTTCCTTTCTAAGGAAATAGATTATTGTATAAGAGATTGGTAATTGAGTGAATGTGTGGTGTGTTGAGACTCGAGTGATGGGTGATGGCCGCCATTAACAGGATCTGTGCTGCTGCTTGTGTTAAAAGCTATTAGTGATATACCGTCTTCTCTTCTTTGTACAACTACTGCACAGGGACAAACACAGCACGATTTGCGAATTGTTGCTCGCTGATTTAGTGTTGTATTCTTGGCTGGTTTTTCTCTTGTATTTGGATTTTGATTTTTTTTTTTTTTTCACTTAAATATAGAGATGAAACTAAATGAAGGGCCAATTTTTGTATTCGTGGCAAGGTCTGCTAAAACTTTTTACCCTAGTATCTTGTTTAATCGACTATGCATTGGTCCAATAATATTTGAGTGAAATGTCACATGTATTGTGGCGCATAGTATGGATTTAAGTCAATAAGAGGTTGTTGTACACGACATTTTTCAAGTACTACGGGGTGCATTTTGTGATGGAATTAATTCAGATTGCAAACTGCATGGTTATGTTATGTTCATTATGGAATTGTATACATTCAGTTCAAATTATACTATCTTCAATAAGGATTCTCATAAATTTTGTAGAATTCTGCTATCCTCAAATTGATATGAATTTGGAAGGAATTCTGCCTGAAAGAAGAAAATGAATAATTCTCCCATAAGTGCAAGTTCAATACTCCAGAATTATATAGAATTCTTTAAAAATCATTGCAGATCGACAAAAAAATTTAGTAACTTAAACTTCGTGTAGTGTCCTGTTCGATTAATAAGATTAGTTCAGTTATTTCATTTTGGATTAATTGCAGATAAAACCTTAACATTTTGTTAAATTACAAATAAAACTCCACTTTATAAGTTTGACAAAAAAATACTAACCTTTCATAAGTGTTGCAATTGTGTCTCAACCGCCACTCGTCGCCGCCAACCGTCACCCGCCGCCGGCCAACTTTGCCGGATGTTGAAAATTTTTACATGATCTTGTAGCTCTCCTCCGTGCCGACAACATATCCAAGTTTCACGAAAAAATTTCGACGATAAGGAGATGACCGGAAAAGTCGTCACTGGAAAAAGTCACCGGTTTCGGCGAAGGTGGACGTCAATAGATGCGGCTTTGCGAGAGGAGTTCAACGGTACCTTCGGATTCACGTGGGTCAAAGCGAGTTACCGGGAATTTGCGAAAGAGCCGGATAAAATTTGTAGATCTACGAGCTTTGACCGGAAAATTGGAAGCCTTATCGTCGGAATTTTTTCATGAAACTCGGATATGTTGTCGGCACGAAGAAGAGCTACAAGATCATGTAAAAATTTTCAACATCCGACAAAGTTGGCCAGCGGCGGGCGGCGGTTGAGAAACAATTGCAGCACTTATGAAAGGTTAGTAATTTTTTTGCCAAACTTATAAAGTGGAGTTTTATTTGCAATTTAACAAAAGGTTAGGGTTTTATCTGCAATTAACCCTTTCATTTTCTTGAGTGCATTGCATTACGTGTCATTTTTTGTTAAGCTCGACTAAGTCTAATAAGTTCATTAAGATTATTTAGATGTCCTCATCTATTTAATCCAATAAGTTATATAATTTATGTAGATATACTCGTCTACTTAAATTTTTTAAGTTTTATTATTTCCTTTGTTAAGTAAAAATCTTTTAAACATTTAAGTTCAAGAGCAAACCATTTTCCAAAATTTTTCCAAGCAAGACCAATTATTTTTCGACCTTTCCAAACATCATATTCCGTTTCGAAACTCAAGGAGAAATTTGGCCCTTTTGCACTTGAATACCCGACCTCTTATGCCCAAAGTTTTGGCTCCATTTTAAGTTCAATCCGGCCCAAGTTTCAAAAGAAGGCTTGGACTATTGGATCAACCTGACTCGAAATAGTGGTGAAGCAGAAATCTTGACAGATAAATACTTCACAACAAATGGAAATGACTTAAGGTTCTTTAACTTAATAAAAAACACAAATCCAAAAATTGTTATTGAAGTGTTCAAATAAACCCAGTCAAACCTTAAAGGAACTACAAGAACTACCTGCTAATGTTCTTAAGGCAATAAGGAACTATAGGAAAAAATACATCCAAGGGGACAAGGAATTTTTTCTAAAAATCATGAGTTCTGTACCGATTTGGATTACGGACGCAGTTATCCTAGCAAAACATTTAATCATACTAGGGGTAAGTTCCGGTGAAAAATTTATTAAACCAGAAACAAGAACGTTCCAACCTATCAACCTTGATGATGTTAGACTTAGCCGATATAAAAAACTCCAGTAAAAAAACAATGGAATTCAACTCGAATGATAAAGTGTTTGTGAATTACCAAGACAAAAATATTTGGTATACTCCAAATAACTAAAAATTATGAACAATGAAGATGAAATAAGGATTATCACCTTCCAAAAGAGATTATTCCAAGAATGCCATCATCCGAAAATATGTAAAAAGATCAAGAAGAGCAGGGAGATACGAGGCAACATCTACACTTGTCCAAATGCAAGATGTCAAGTAGCAATCAAGGTGGAGCAAGCCACTTTGAAAACCATGTTTGGAGATAAAGATTCCCAGACAACGTTAAATTCAGCCAACTCACAAGCCATGGAATAGAGGAAAAAGTGATAAAGCTAGTGAGAGCACGTGAATGCATGATGGAGGGCATAAAGAGTACATAATTGGCCAGAAATTTCGCGATGAAACGCTTACCAACATGGCTCACATCAGGGATGACGTAATCATCTTGTATCGACCCTCGTTCCTTACTCTATAAAAGGACGAGTTTATTTTGAATAAGAGGACATCAGAAAAACAAGACAAAAGTCTAGTCTATAGTTTTCTCCCTCTAGCATTTCTTCTCCCGTTGTAATGTGTGGAAACTGAAAAGTTCCTTCCTAAGGAGCATATGATGTAATAAGAGTTCAAGAGTGTCTATCCGAGAATTCTTTTTCTTGTTGTGAAATAAAACATAGCTTAGTTGGCTTAGCCGAGTTCTTATGCCGCAATCACCAGAGTGCCTGGAGAGAGTAAAGTCGTTCAAGCTGAAGAAGTACTAGGAGGAGAAAAAGTACGCTGAGGTGTCCTTGGCATTGGTATGGAACAATACAAGAACTGCAGAAGAAGGACAAGAGGTACAATTTCACAATATAGATATGAATTCTAGGGTTACTTTAGCTACTAATAAACTTAGAATAAAAGTTTTTAGAACCAAAAGATTTTTTTTAAGTCTTAATTCACAGAACGAAGAAAAAATTTCTTAATTTGAATATTTATATTCAAATGGAAACATTTGATAATGATAATTTTTGGCGTATGCAAGTAGGAGCAATATTTAAAGACATAAATTGTGTCAAAACATTAATAAAACAAATTGTTGAATTAACAAAAATGCTAAATGAAGGAGAACAAAGGTTGGATAACTTTGTTCAAACTTATTATTCTGCACCAGTGGATGTTAAACACGCAAGCATTAGAACCTTTTTCCAAACGTGTAATAGAATGCTCTCCTTAATTAATGAAATTAAGAATTCGATAATGAAGGCAGAAAAACAAGCATCCTTTTTAAGTTCTTAGTTAATAAAGTTTTTCGACTAAAAATTATAAATCAAATCCTCAATTCATTACTTTTGGATAATTTCCTAATAGCATGTTCTTAAATATGCCCACGCGGGAATCAGTCCATCTAAAACTCTTGCTATCAGAGCAATGGATAAAAGAAAAATCCTATTGGATAATAGGTATTTTGATCAATATTTTCTGAATTCGTCTTCCAATATGGAATGAAAAGTCATAATGGGGAATACCAGTATTAGTGATCCCATCTTAAGGTGGAGACAACTAGGAAACCTGTTTGGAATATGAATTCTAATACGAAGAACGAAAACAGAGATATAGAACATGATCTATGTCTTTCAAAAGCTTTACAAATGGACACTGGTAACTTAAAACAAGACATAGTGAAAACTGGAAGGGCATTAATAACAGCTTTCAAAAGGACTTCCTTACCAGCCACAGAAATCATCTTGTTCTTCCAGTTCCACAGCTTTGCTTTGACATAAGCTATCACATATGAAAAGACCTCAGATTTTGATCTGCCAATCCCCAAAGGGAGGCCTAAATATCTGGTAGAAGAGTGATGCTGAATCCCATTAAGAGCTGAGCAAATAGTCTCTTGAATATGCAAAGGAGAGTTCTTGCTGAAAAAAGCTAAGGATTTCAAAAGGTTGACCTTTTGACCTGTCAACAGCTTATACCTTTCCAACAAGTTCATTAACACTTGAGCTTGCCCCATTTCAGCCTTACAGAAAAAGAGGGCATCATCTGCGAAGAGTAAATGAGAAAGAGCAGGTCCATTTCTTGATAATTTAATCCCAGTAAGGTCACCTCTATCCAAAGAATCTTTGATGAGTGCAGTCAATAATTCTGTGACAATAATAAAAAGATAGGGGGATAAGGGATCTCCCTGTCTTATTCCTCTTGAAGGGTAAATGACACCACTCAAAGATCCATTAACAGAGAATGAAAGAGAAGTAGTAGAAATGCACACCATAAGCAGCTTCACAAAAGCAAGACTGAATCCCATTCTAAGCATAATCTTTTCAATACAGACCCATTCAACTCGATCAAAAGCTTTCATAAGGTCTAACTTTAAGGCCATAAAGAAATTCCTCCCTGATCTATGTCTATTAAGAAAGTGAAACACTTTTTGAGCCAGAATAACATTATCAAGAAGTTGTCTATCTTGAATGAATGCAGATTGGCAAACACTAATGCAGGAAGAAAGACAAACTTTCAATCTCATAGCCAGAAGTTTAGAGAGAATTTTGTACACCACACTGCATAATGATA